ATTTTTAAAATCTGGCTTTTAAACTGGCGCTTACGCAAAAATTATATAAAAAAAAATTGAAATTGCGCCGAATGTGTAAAAAATTGCAAAATTCTGCCAAAACTAAAGCCGAAATTCGGTACAGCCCTATAACGATAATTGTAAGATGAATTGTAATTTGACTAATTTTCAAATCAAACTTCGAACGAAAGGAGGAGGAGCGTAAAAAGAAAGAAGAAGAAGAAAGACAGAGGAAAAAAGAAGAGGAAGAGCGATTACGAAGGGAAGAAGAGGAAAGGAAAAGGAGGGAGGAGGAGGAAGAGAGAAAACGAAAGGAAGAAGAAGAAAGGAAACGAAAGGAAGAAGAAGAAAGGAAACGGAAGGAAGAAGAGGAAAGGAAACTGAAGGAAGAAGAGGAAAGAAAACGGAGGGAAGAAGAAGAAGAAAGAAAACGAAAAGAAGAAGAAGAAGAAAGAAAACGAAAAGAGGAGGAAGAAAGGAAACGAAAAGAAGAGGAAGAAGAAAGAAAAAGAAAAGAAGAAAATATATATAATAATGTTGAATTTGGAAAAAAATATAAAGACTTAAAACAGCAAATAGAAGGAGAACAAGAAAAAGTGAAAAAAGCAGAAAATGAATTAAGAATATTACTTGAAGAACAAGAAAGAAAAGATGCTGAATGTAAAAAAAATGAAAGTGAAATTGAAGAGAAATATGCAACTGAAATGAATAAATCGGAAGAAAAAATTCAGCAATTAAGGACAGAACATGAGAGACTAATAGAAATGGAGCGTCAACGAGTGGAAGCAGAAGAAAAAATAATTCAAATTGAGCAGCAGCTTCCTATAATAGAAAAGGAAAAGAACAGAACTGAAGAAAAATTAATAAAAGAAGAAGAAGAAAACAGAAAACTTGAACAACAACTTGAAGAGGTAAAAGAAGAAAAAAACAAAACTGAGCTGTTGAGAACTGAAGGAGAAAGGGAAAGGAAAGAACTTCAACAAAAACTTGAAAAAATAGCTAATGAGATAAACAAAACAGAACAATTGCGAGTTGAACACGAAGAACAAAGTAAAAAATTAGAACAACAACTTAAAGAAGTGGAAGAAAATAGAACCAAAACTGAATTATTACGATCACAAGAAGAAGAATTGAAAAACAAACTTGAAGGAAATCTTAAAGAAGTGAAAGAAAATATAACTATAATTGAGCAATTGCGAACGGAAAAAGAAGAGGCAAAAAAAAAGCTAGAAAAACAATTTCAGGAAACAGAAAATGAAAAAAATAAAAGTGAACAGCTACTAACGGAAGAACAAGAAGTAAAGCAGATATTTGAACAAAAACATAAGGAAGCCGAAGAAGATAAAACAAAACATCAACAATTACTAGCAGAACTTGAAGAAGAGAAAAAAAAACTTGAACAACAGCTTAAAGATATAGAAGAAGAAAAAAACAAAAAACAACAATTATTAACGGAAAAAGTAAA